TTTTCATGCTCTCTTAGCACTCAATCTAACCTCAATATCTTCTTGATATGTTCTTTCGCCTGTTTCATTATATGGGTTAAAGAATGATAGCCATTCAACAATAACTCAACAAATATATAGTGAGTACTCTCTCTCTTCCAGGTATTTTTCAAGGTGCTAGGAATATATTGTGAACACAACTGAGAAAGTCCTTTTCCTCATGGAACTTAAATTCTTATGAGTAGACAAATAAATAGATAGAGAAGTAAATAAATGCTGTAATATATACTGTTAGCGGAGAGAAGTGTTATGAAGAAAATGTAAGCAAGACAAGGGGCTAGAGAGTGATGTGGTGGTGGGGGATGGCTAAAGTAGATTGGATGGTCACTTTAGGCCTCTTTGAGAAAGTGACTTTTAAACAGAGATCTAAATGAAGTAAGGCAACGAAGTATGATGTTATTTGGGGGAAGAGCGTTCCAGGAAGGAGAAACAGCAAGTTCAAGGCCAAGAGGTGAGAGTATGATTGGAGTATTAAAGGAATAGCAAAGGGCCAGTGTGGCAGGAGCAACAGTAACATAAAACTAGTGGTAGGAAATAAGGTTAGAGAGTTAGACAGGGGCCAGATCACATAGGAAGTCTTAGGCCATAGTGAAGCTTTGGCTTTTATTCTAAGTGTGAAGACAATCCACTGGAGAGTTTATAGTAAGGGAGCAGGTCTGGCAAATGTTTACAAGAATCACTCTGTAGTGGACACTGTGGTGCACAGCCCAGATCCCTCCTTCAGGACTGATGCTCTCATTCTCCAGCTGCTGGAAGTTGGGAAGCTGACAGCTCATGGCTGCGTTCCTTTCTGTGAGCTGAAGAAACCCTCCTGGCCCAAATACATGCCCCTTCCTAGGGTTAGCCCACATCCAATGTCTGGCCAATAAAGGAGGGAAAAGGCCTATCCCAGCTCCAGAGTGCCCATGGGATCAGCTGACGCCTCTATTGCAATTACATCAGAGTTCAACTTCACCCTCTGCTCAGTTTTGTCTCCCTCACTCCCTCACAGGTGTTGAGCCCAAGGGAACCCTCCAATAAACTTTTTGCATGCAAATCTTCATCTCAGAGTTGGCTCCCTAGAGAATTCAGCCTGTGACACTTTGCAATGCGGAGAGCAGGCTATTATGCAGTAAGAGTAGAAGCAGGAGACTAACGAGGAGACCAAGGCAGTTGTCCAAGCCAGAGACTCTGGTTGCTTGGTCTAGTGTAATAGACTGAAGATATCTATTAGATATCCTTGGGCATCCAAGTGGAGACGTCAGGTAGACTGTTGACCATATCTGTTAGAATTTAGGGGAGAGATTGGGGCTAGTGATATAATTTGGGGAACCATGGGATTGAGTATAGATAGAGAAATGTCTGAGGATGAATCCTGAGACATCCAAACATTGCATTTGAAATGTTCAGTATATATTTGCTTAATTACAAACAGCTGTGATCCCTAAAAGAGCCATATCTAAGAACAATCACAATTTATGTACACAGAGACTATTGTGAGTTTGCTGTGATCATCCAATATAACCTACATTATTACAGTTTTCCAATGATGATAATAACCTGATGTTAAAAAGTAATTATTTTTTAAAATCTCTTTAAAGCATTTCTGTTATATATTTCTTAGTGTTCAGACACCTGGTTAAACAATCTGCAGCTGTATTTATGTATTTGCTTATTGTCTGCTACTTCCCAAAGGATTTGAGGCAACATCCCACAGAACATGTAAATATAAAGTTAATAAAAAAAACCCAGAAAATCAAGACTCGTGCCAAAAGGAGATGGTGGGTGAGCAGTGAGTGGATGAGGAGAAGGTGGACGAGCAGCTAGACAAGGGGAAGGCCAACTGCTCTCTACATGGGGAATCTGAAGGACTCCAGCAAGGACACATTGACCAAGGCCTCAAATATCCCTATTTCGTTTTGTCACATTGTCTGGAATATTACAGCAGAAAGCCTCTTGGATTGGGATCCCTCAAAATGCACATTCGGCCCACCAAGTGAATTCCTGGCACATCTCACCCTAGTGTGAATATGCTTCATCGAATTGTGGTCTACCCTGAAATAAAATCTACTCTGAAGATGAACTTCAGGGCAACAACAGCACAAGGCGACTGTAGGATGTTGGGAGACCCTGTAATTCCTCCTTCCCCATCACTTTCTGGGCTCTCCTTTCTGCCCGCCTCCTCAACGTCAGCTTTTCCTCATGTCTCTCCTTGGCCTCTTCCTGGTGCACTTTTAGTGGGTGAACTCCTCCTTTCCCAAGATTCTGCTGGTGGTGAGAAGAGGGTCCCAAATGTGTCCAGTGCCTCCCAGGGGCCAGCAGGGGGATGTTAAAAGATACTTTTCATGGCTTGACCTCAGAAAGATGGGTTCCCTATTTGAAAGAGCTCTATGAAAAAGCAGATGGGTGAGAGAGCTAGAATAGAGACCGGTGAGTGGGGAAGGCTGCAGTAAGTTCTATTGGTCTTTTGTCCATCCAGCAGACTGTGGCTTGAGAACATTCCCTTGGGACTTATACCTGTGGGCAGTACTATTTCCTCTGCCTTAGGCATCCTCCCCTGTTGTCAGCCTGGAGAATTTCTATGGTTTGTCTTCAGTCACTCAGCTCTAGAATTTCCTTCTTCAGAAAGCCAAGGAGAGGACAGTTAGCTGGACCCAGTGAGGCTTTTCCGTCACCCCAACCCATCGAAGCTCACAGGGCCAATCACACAGTATGCCTGGCTTGGTTGGGTGACCTGGACAGGTGAGCAGGGCAGAGCAGCAGGATCCCAAGGGGGTTTGGCAGGTGATTCAGTTGAGGTTCGTGGAGACTAGTCCAGGGGAATTCAGGGGCCCAGCCCTCAGCAGGGGTATGAAAAGTCATAGTGAGCTGGGAGGGCGGGAGAGGGTGGATAGGAGATTGGCAGCACCTGGGTTCCAGCTATATTCCTGCCTCATAGGGAGATGTGGTGAGAAAAGGGTAGTTAAGGTGCCCAGCACAGATCACTGGCCTAGGACTGGGTCCCAGACCCCATCCTCTCACAAGGATGAGTCTGCCTGAGGGGACAGGACTGAGTTTCATGCCCAGTAGCCGTCAGCAGTCCCCCAGGACTTCCACAAGAGGCCTAGCCTCTTCTCTTTATTTGTGGAACCGTCCTGCCTGAGCTTGAAAGTGTGCCTTACCCCAGATTCAGATTTCCTGTTGTTATCCTCTGCCAACCCCCCGAGACACCCTGGAAACCCAGACTGGGGATGGCTGGACCCTTATAATGGCAGGCCCACCTTTTCCCCCTGAACATTCCCTGACCACCGAGGCTGTGGTTTCCCTTTGCTCACCCTGGCCACCCCACCATGTTGCCTCTACCGCAGGAGACGGGATTGCGCCAGGCATGAGCTCCTTCTTTTTGTCTCAGAGGGACTGGCCATGCAGAGCCAGTTTTCCTGGACATTGATCCATGAAGGATGTGATCTGCTGAGTGCTTGAAAGCAGATCAACAACCCTCATATTGTCCCAATATCATCTTCTCTCTCTACCTAGCCAGAAATTTCTACCATTGACAGATTCATGTGTATGGCTGGGAGTGGGGGTACAGGGGATGGAGGAGAAGGTTGACCCAACTTTGAGAAGCCAGGAGCACCCTTCTTGGGTGTGCCCAGTGTCAGTATTAGCCCTTGAAGTAAGCTGAGGTGAGACTGGATTTGTTCCTTTCTGTGCTTGTTAATTTTAATCTGTTAATTTTGTATTTCAGCCAGATACCCAACTTCCCCTCGAGACTGGGCATGTCATAAATGATCGAGTGAAATAAATAATGAATAAATGCTTCTCTCTTAGAGTCCAATTTAAATCCAAGGAGCCCTGGTGAGATCTGAGGACTGGTCCTGTCAATTAGTTCTTCCAGACTGACCTCCGGTTACTAATTGGCTCATTTAAATTCCTTCTTTTGAGGGCATGTTACAATGGAAGTAAAATAATTAAAGAGCAGCAAACTTGAATTTGTGGTTGGATACGTTTGAAGCTACATCATTACCATTATGATACTGGGCACCGTATGAAATTGTGGTCCAGGGAAATGACAGTGGGTTTTAATTTGTCTCCCACAAGTGATGTTTCACAGTAAAATCTGAATATTAATGGTGATCCTTGATCCTGGCTTGCTTATATGTCTATGTGTACCAAAAATACTGGCTTAAGGCAGTGCTTTCCAACATTTTCACGTCGTATCACACAGAAAAAAATTATTGCATTTTTATGGCATATTGGGTAAATGGATAAGGTCATTCCACGTCTGAAAGTGAGCAGCCTGGGTGCTCCAGCCACCCAAGACCCTGTCCCTCTGCCCAGAGAGCTGATGGCCTCCAGATATCTGCACACATATAACCCATTTGTGGTGGGGCCCATCGTTTGAGGAGACATTAAACATCATCTAAACAAATGTGTAATTTCAAGTCTTTATGGAGGAAATTAAAGACAATAACAAGAGATTATGATGGAGAATTAATTGTGGGGACGTGGTTGTCAGGAAAGGCATCCCTGAGAAAGTGATATATTATCAGTGACCTGAAGGATTTAGTTAAGTGAAGAATGGAGAAAAGAACCTTCCAGGGAGAGGAAACTGAGACAGAGAAAGACTGGATATGTCTGAGGATTTATAAGCAGAATTGGATGGCTGGAAGGTTCTGAGGGAGAGGGGAGTGCCTCAAAGCACGGATAGGGAAGCAGGCAGGTGATAGAGCATGCAAGGCCTTGTGAGCTGCCACACATCATATCCAAAGGGCAACGAGTAGCTATTGAAGGGACTTGAGCCCAGACTGACAGGATCAGATTTGCATTTTTTAAAAGATCACTCAGGCTACTCAGGTGGTGTGGGAAAAGAGAGACCTGGGCATTTTGGCAGGAGATGACTAACTAGAGAGATGATAGTGGAGGAGAGAAATAATTCAAAGTGTATTTTAGAAGTAGGAGTCAGACCCCAAACTGATCTTGAGTCTCCTTTTCATTTTTAAGGCTAACATTTATTGTTACTAACAGCTTTCTCTGCATTATCCTCTTGAATTCTCAGAGCAACTGAAGAGCTCCATTTAACAGATGAGAAATGCATGTTCAATACCAAGCTTCAAACCCAGGCCTAGCTGGCTCCAGAAACCTGAGTTCTTAATGTGTATGCTCTCCTACAAAGGAGGATGACTTAACAAAGAATCTGTTTCTAAAGAAAATTCTTAGGGCTACTAAATCAAAATGCGCGTGTAGCAATAATAAGTATTCTCAGTTCTGTGTTAAATCTAAGAACTGAAACCAACATACTTTCCTGTCCCTGAGCTAGGCAATATGGGAACCAGTCAAAATAGCTTGGCTACTTGTCCCAGGAAATACTTGCTCCTGGAATACAAAACTTTGAACTGACAAGATTAGATTATTTATCAGGACTAACTACTTGCTCATCAAGACTCGCTCCAAGACCCCCACTTCACTATGCCTACTACCCATCCTGAGCTATTATGTCATATACTCTGCCCATCCCAACTAGTTTTCTGCCTTGTAAGACCAGCCTTAAAAATACCCATCCCAAGTTGAAAACCCTATAAACCTATAAACCCTGCCCTAATTTCTCTACTTTGAGACACTGCTAAGACTCTGTCAATGTGATGTTCTCCCTTACTGCAGTGAGTCTAATAAACTTAGCCTTGCTGGATTGACATGTTTTCTGGTGGTCTTTTGGGAGGTCAATAGTCGACAAGTGCCTGGTAGTATACTTTTACTTTGAGACTCTGCCACCTAAAGGGAGGCCTGAGAAGGTTCATATAAGAGCATGGTATTCAGTCATGTGCAGAGTCTCAAAGAATTTGGATTAGAGAATAAAAATTTATTTGGTTTAGACAATAGAAATTTCTGTTCTCTCGTTTATTGAAGGTACAAAATTGGAGTCTAGTTTTGTGCTTATGTAAGACAAATACATTTGCTTCTCAAAGATCACAATCTTTTCTCACAGAATCCAATCTTTTTGTATCTAGAAGACAAAACTGGGAAATGGCTATATTCAGATGTGTGTGTGTGGTGGGGTAGGGGGTGGGGGGCATTGGTGGGAGCAGGAGAGAGCTCATATGGTTTTAAATCATTAAAAGTTCTATTTGCTGCTCTAAATTCAGGTGCCTAGAATAGCAGGAATTTGAGGACAGGCCAATGCTAGCCTTTAATTCTTGGTTTTCAAGAACATCAAGGCTCATGTGGTAGGCTGAATAATGGCCTGAGAAAGATGTTCATGTCCTAACTCCAGAACCTATGAATACGTTACCTTACATGGTAAAAGGGACTTTGCAGATATGATTAAGTTAAGGATCATAAAATAGGGAGATTATTCTGAATTATCCAGGTGGGCGCAATGTTAACACAAGCATCCTCATAAGAGGGAGGCAGGAGGGTCAAAGTTGAGGAGGAGGTGATGAGTCCACGGTAGCAAGAGATTGGAATGATGTGCCAAGCATACTGGCAACCTCTAGAAGCTAGAAGAGACAAGGAATGGATTCTCCCCTGGAGCCTCCAGAAGGAAGCAGCTCTGTCGACACCTTGATTTTAGCCCTGTAAGACTTATTTCAAACTTCTAACATTCAGAATTGTAAGATAATAAGTTTGTGTTGTTTTAAGTTATTAAGTTTGCGCTGATTTGTTATAGGAGCAATAGGAAACTAGTACAGCCCATAAAATTAAAATAGCTAACATAGCAAAGGTGGTTGGGCTGCTCGTGAGAGAAGCTCATCTACCTTCACTTCCTTTAGCCTGTCTGAGTTGACCCCACCTCCCAGTGAACTTGCCTTCAGGATGCACACTCTGGCCTGCTCTGCACAGTCTAAATACAGGGCCCCTGGAACACTGGCAGCCTCATTGGGCCTATCTAGGGGCCCCACATCTGCATCTCCCATGTTTGCTGGTTGACGCTGATACAATGGCCCACGGTAGCCAGCGGAAGACACATATTGGGCAAGCAGGCCTCCTTCTTTCATTTTCCTAATATAAATCTAATTCACAGCCAGACCTATTTAGTATATTTCCAGTCTGGGGTTCACAGTTTACCCGCTTGAATGTTGGTCTTTTCACGGCAGAGTTGCTGAGGTCCTTTCTGTGTAGTTACATTGAGATCCCGTAAACTGAATCTACAGGACTCTTAGGCACTGTTCAAGATCCCAGGCACTTAGCCATATGTTTTCTGATTTCATATAGCCCAGAATAATATAGGCTGTTTAGGGGACCTCTATACCAGTACAGTATAGTGTCTAAAAGAAACACAATTTTGAAACCCAAAGCTTAAAGAATAGTGTAGATCTTTGTTGCACCACGTTAACTCCTAGCCAAACTTCCTAAAAACCCTCCTTACTTCTATGTCCCTAGGTTGTCAAGGCAGGTTTTGAAAACTCCCTCTCTCCAGCTGCACTCGATAGCCCCAAGCTGACTTTCTGAAACTTTCTCTTTTCTCCCCAGCCTCCCTCCCCTGCTTTTCCCAGGTTAGTTCCCTGCCCTATCTAAGGTAAAAGCAATCCCACCTCTCTCAGCTCCCACCAATTTTCCTCACCCATCACCCAGATGGACGTAACAGAAGCTGAGGAACCATGCAGTTCTAACAAAAAATCTTCCTGGGCAATTAGAGCAGAGGAAAGGCTGTGGACATTAGACATTAATATTTTTCATCTATTTCGCAACTGGAAAGTAAGAGAGCACAGGAAAATGTGTTTGGAGGAAATTCTGAGTGGAGGTGACACCTCTTAGTCTCCCCAAGGACAGCATTGTCTTGAATACTTGAGGATTTCCATTGGAAGGAAACAGCAGTGTTTGGCCAGAAGATGGCACTCTTTGAAAACAAATTTAGGCAGCTCCTTACCACAGGGGGCTGGGAGACATTGAATCCTAGTTGATAAAGATCTCGGAGTGCAGAGAAGGGCTGGGTAGACAGAACAGTAAAAGACTGAAGGTGAACAATGGTCAAAGGAGCAAATGGGACTTTACATTCAGCACTTATGGATGATGCTTATTGTGATTTTCTTTACCATTTTTAGCCATGCAATCTGCTAGGGACTGATGTTTGTGCCTCCCTGAAATTCTTATGTTGAAATTCTAACTGCCAAGTTGATGGTATTAGGAGGTGAGGCCTTCAGGAGGTGTGTGTGTAGGTCATGAGGGTAGAGCCCTCATGAATGGGATTAGTGCTCTTATATAAAAAGGCCCAAGAAAGCTCCCTAGCCCTTTCCACAGTGTGAGGACACAGCGAGCGAGAAGTGAACCAAGATACAGAAAGGCTGAGTGACTTGCCCCTGCCATACAGATAGGCAAAAATAGATAGAGTGCTGGTAACAAATGCATAAATCATATAATGCTGCCATGAAAAGAATCATTAGAAGTCATCAAGTGCAACGCACCCTTTTCCAGATGGGGGAGACTGAGGCAGAGAACCAAAGTGATTTGCTCAAGGTATCATAAGCTAATTAGGTGAGAAAGCTTCGATCAGACTCTACATGGACTGACTGTGGCCCAGAATACTGTGGCCCAATATTCTAGCATTTAATTAGCTTCCAGAAAACCTTGATAAAACATGAAAGTCAAATTGAACTATGAGAGTTTGGAGTCAATATAAAGTGGTTTTTAAACCCATCATCCAGGGATCACACCTCATTGTGACCTCTTGCTATAAGAAGCCATTTAACCTTGGGACCACTGACTAAATAGAGGAGCCAGGTCTGAAGCAGGGGTGGTAGTGCAGTTTATTAACAAACAAAACTGTAGCATACAGGCGAAATCATACTTCAATGGCAAAACACACACATATACGTACTCCCACATGTAGCACTGGGGCACAGTTCAGAGAGAACATTAGGCACCAAGCTCACAATCAAACTAAATGTAGTTCACAATCCTTTGATATTTTTTCTTCAGTGTAGTGTAAGTCCTTATTTAACAGTTGTGAACAAAAAAGGTTAACTTTTAAAATCTAATTCTAGACCTTACTATGGAGTGAGGCCAACTCAGCCTTCAGAATTGTGAAGCAGATGCCTTAACAGGGCCAGGCTCTTTCAACTGCTTAAACTGGCTGTAGTTTCTCTGGGTTGGAGAAAAGACCTATGGTATCTTGGTGTTGGATGGTCTCGTATATGGTGGGAGTTCTCAGTTCTGATTTCACGTCTGAAATGGCATTCATTTTGATACTCAATCTGTAGCTTAACAGGGCTGATCTAATTAGGATAAATTAATTTTTCTAAAAAGTTTGAGCAGAGGGTAAATCACATACTCAGGAGTCCTTCAACATTCAAGACTTAGATATGTTAACAACTTGATTACTGTTAAAACTGTTGCCAGGGCCGGCCCTGTGGCTTGGTGGTTAAGTGCGCGCGCTGCGATGCTGGTGGCCCGGGTTCGGATCCCGGGTGCGCATCGAGGCACCACTTCTCCGTTCATCCTGAGGCCGAGTCCCGCATACAGCAACTAGAAGGATGTGCAGCTACGGCATACAACTATCCACTGGGGCTTTGGGGGGAAAAATAAAATAAATAAAATCTTTAAAAAAAAAAAAAAAAAAACTGTTGCCAGTTAAGAAGTTTAAATCAGCATTTCCCAAAAGGTGTGTCAGAACCAAGTTAATCAGTAAGTGAACAGAAACAACTGAAATAGATCAGGGATGCGATTTCTCAACATGGTTTGATATAATATGCAACAACTCCGTATGTACTGGAGCATATCCAAGACATTACTAAAACTCCTAAATTAAATAAAATGCTTTTTAATTGCAAGGCAGAGTGGCAGAAAAATCCTGCTCTTTGCTCTTAGGATAGGCACTAGTCCCCACATCAGGGTCCAGTGACTTAATTTTGGATTTATGATAAGATTAATTATGTAATAACTTGGGTTGGTTTCCTTTGGCAATCTTTAATTCCCATTCAATAAAAAATAGATAGGAAGTTAGGTTAAGAAGTATTGGGAGGTAATGGAGATAACAAGGATATAAAATAAAATACTGAATATGGGAGATGATAGAAGAAGCAGTAGACTGACCAGCTATAAAACATTCACATGACACTTAGTACAGGGGCAAATCCAATCGTATCACTCTATTATAAAAGTATAAAATAATTGAGATACACAATGATTGACCTGATTAATAAAAAAAGATGAAGTGGAATCAAGCTTATTTAATAATGTGTGGAAGTCAGTCCACCAAAATTTTTATTTGAAAATTTTGGCACATAAAAGAAGAAGCTTCAGCTATTTAGAAACTTCATTTAAAATAAAATGCCTCATTCATCAATGATACCGAATAAGGTATTACTGGGTATCCACCACCTGTGTACCTGATTCCATGGAATTCTCTCGACTGCTTTATTGGATCACATCTGTGCAGATTTTTTAGAGATATTTATATTAAAAAAAAGAAGTATTTTTTGGCTGAAACCTTTGGAAGGGGATTTTAAAAATCTTACAGTTTTTAAAATGGGAAAGACAAGATGTGAGCACTGTTCTGGGCCCACATTTCTCCTAAGAGAACTTAGTTTTCATATATAAAATCACTCGATTTTATGTTTTATAAAACTTAATAACTAAAGCAAGTGAGGTTATAATACAGAGCCCTAATTCCCTTTCTGTATTGGATAGTCTCAACAAATAACAATCAGAAATTCATCATATGGATTTCAGTACTTATTTGAGAGAAATTGGCAGGTAACCATGTTGAAGACAAGTTAATGGATCTGCCTAATTCTACTATGGTCATAGGAAAACAGAAAAAATATATGCCACTAGGGGCCTTCAGAAGGCCAGGGTCTACCTGAAAAAAGGAAAATACTGCTTTCCTGCAATCGGCAGAGAACGTTATCATTGAAAACGAGGGAAGTGACGTCTAGCCACCTTCGAGGAGTAAGAGCAGATGCCTATTGCAGTTGGTCTCATGCGGAGCTAGTCAGGAAGGCCTCTTGGGGAACAGTCTTGCCACTATTTTCCTCTGCTCACCTAGGGAGCTGCACAAAAGCCACAGCAAGTCAATTTTAACATTATACCTTGGTAAACACTGCCCTCTTTAAGAGGAAAAAGAGGAAAATACAAATGAGCTAGCACTAAGACTAGGTGTGTAGAAACTTCACAGGAATTAGAAGTGGTCAGGAGAGTCCTGAGGCAGCAGCCCAGAAGATGTACCCCCTACTGGTCTGAGGGCCTTGCATCCTCCTGCCTCCACTGCTTTCATTTACTATTCCTCCATCCAAAGTGGGAGCTGCTCACCTCAGGAAGCTGTGAGCCTCTGGGCTCTGGACCTATACTTCATCATTTCCTAAGGACTGAAAAGGACAGTCACAGGCTGGGCCTTAACTTACTCAACCTCTGCAGAGAGAAAGTTAAATGCTTCATTTCTGCAATCATCAGGCATTTTGTGTAAAAGGGGAGAAAATCAGGACACAGAAATTGTTTCAGAATGAGCATTTCAACTTGAAATTCTTGAAATTAAGCGAACAATCACAAGGTTTTATTCTACCATCAATATGAGTTAATCTACACAAGATGGAACTTGATCTTACTGAAATTAATGAGGTGATTCTTCGGATTGTTTTCACTTAACACGGACTGAGACTAAACTGAGGGGTGAAATTCAGTGCACTTAAAGGTGGTCCAATGACAAGGCCTTTGATTTGTCAACATTTTGCTTTTGATGGTGCTGGGAAAGCGTAAGCAGGAAGCATTAGGTTGAAACTTCAGGATCGTGACAGCCCCCTGAATTTGTACACCACGATCGACAGGGCAGTTATTGTTGTGGACAATCCAATGATCTTCAGCAGGCCTGACACGGAGGGCAGATTCCTCTCCCAGAAGGTGTGGGTGATGTCTGTAGCTGGAACATCCTAGATGAATGAATATAGCTCATTAGCAGAAAACTCTTGCACTGACAAGGAGGGGCAAAACATATCTGTAAAATCAGTGCGTGGATATGCCCTGGAGAGTGGCATCTACAATTACATCAGACGCTAGAAGATGAGACAGATGAGTTTTACATGCAGTTACTGGTCCTTGGAGATGGAGCTGCCGAACTGACCTTTGATTCAGGTTCTTGAAGCCATACGTCTTTCTCTGCCACCTTCCCCCAAGCATTCAAGACCTGAAAGAAAGTGGCCATGGTATTAAGCATGAAATGAGGTTCTGTACTTTCAACAGATTCAAGGCCCTACTGGCCATAGATGAGCCCCATGAGTGGAGTAAGGGGCGGAGAAGTGGACATACAGATTTATCAGTGTCAACATCTAGAAAGGCCAGATGCCAAACACACTGCCGGACTCAGGAGGGAGAGTGACTCGCCTTCCTCTCTTACCTCTCTAGCTGCCCGCTCTCCGGCCTCAACTGCTCCTTCCATGTAACCGCTCCAGCGTGTGGCTGTCTCCGTGCCAGCAAAGTAAATCCTGCCTACTGGTTGGCGAATCACCCTTCAAGGGAACAGAGAGGTCACACAGAGTTACCTGGAAAGGTGCTGAGGGTAAATGAGCCAATCACTGCCCTCATTTACAACAAAAAAGACACGGAAACTCAAACTGTTTCAAAAACTCCCATGGGACTCAGCCAAAGGTGAAAGGCTCTTCCCTGTTTCCTGGGCCTGCACCTAAGGATCTGAACTTGCAAGCCAGAGAGAATCAGGCTGTCAGATCATCAATCACTAAAGATGATGCTGACTTGTTCCTAGCCAGCCAGAAGTGGAATATAAGAACATGCATTAAATCCACAATCAGATTTATTTGCTCTGTGTTTCCTGTTTGCAGTCCAATATGCTCCCTACAGTCTTTCCAAGGGGCGCATTCTCCATGGGATCACATCTGACTGCAGACCCCAGCCATGCAGGTACTCCAAGGGTGTCAGGAGGAACCGCAGCGGCAAGTGGGGACACAGGGAGATTAACTACCTTCTAACAAAGGAGAGATCTGAGGGATTATATGTCTGTCTCCTTAAAAAAACACATCTGTACAGTTAGCTTCTGTGAATTTATCTGGAGACTGGCTGAGGGCAGGGAAATGGGCCTTCTCTTACAAACAGGTCTCGGTGAAGAGAACCACGGAAGGGCTAAGCTGAATGGGCCACTGTCCCCTCCTACCCTGTTGGCTTTGACTTCTGCCACATCTGCAGCCACTTTCATGAAATCTCCTAAGCTGCACACCTCCACCCCAAAGGCCTTTACCTTAACCCACTGTCATGCCTTTTTCCAATTCCAGGAATCTTGGGCTTCATCTATTCCTAATCCTAGTCCCATCTTCTAGACTTCTACTTTGAATCCAGAACTACTCCAGTTAATCAATTCTGTTATCACTAACAAAGGCTATTCATTCACGACTTGAGATTTGACAGAAATAGACAGCACTAACTGCCCTTTGGAAAAGGAACTGTAAAGAGCACCCAAGATCAAAAAAGGTTTTCAGATAAATCATTTAATCTTTCATCAGACATTGATGACTTTCATTGAAATCCTGCATAAGTATAAAATATGATTGATTCTTGCATAAACCTGAAATTTAACTAAAATCATTACTTAATGATTCAATTAAGAATAAACAAACAAAAAGTTCATGTAAGGAAAGGATTAACAAATCCTTCTTCCTTCTCTGTGGACCAACGTGACCTTGAGTTAACTTTCTAGCTCTGTTCCTTTGGAAACCTGATGAAGGAATAACACCATCTACGTTACCAGGTAACACTGCTTATGGTAAAAATGCGTCCCCACACCCCTACATTGGAAAATTGCATCTGGGCTGCGAAAACTGTCATGAAATGTAAATACCTGTAGGAGTTTATCACTTTGGGCTTCCCTGAGTATGGTGCCTTTTGTAACTGGGCATGTCCCTTGCAAGGATCCTGGACACTAAGCCTAAGAGGCTGTTACAAGAGACAATGGGTCCTATGGGGCATGGGGCTTCTAAGCCAAGGTGAACTCTCCCACCCTGAGTGGATATCACCTCCTTACACCTTAGCTGTATACAGCGAGGATGCTTCCCCATGAAGAGGAATGTCTGACGCTGCTCTGGCTGGCAAGACGTGTTTAGCCCATGTCCCTCTGTGTAGACTGGTGCCCAGGAGCCTAGGTTAGTCATGTGAGACTAAATGTTTAGTTGAGCTCAAGAAGGCCTCTTGGAGGACACTGCAGCTTGCAGAATTCTCAACGTATTGCTGGCATCTGAAATCCTCACCAGTGGTCTGTGATTGTTCTAGGTATTGACAGCTGTTGTTCTTTGTACTGACTTATTTTTGTTATTTTGTTATTTGTACCGACTTTGTACCTACTTATTTTCCTATGGATATCTAGAAATGTACAAACTGACTATCTGGGATATTAGAAATAAGAATGCTGATGACTATTTTTACAATTTCTATTGAACCTTGCTTATCTTTTTAAGTTTGGTGCATGTGTTGTATTAATCAGTTTAGTGTCCGGGTAGTACCTTCCGTACTGAGTCATGATCCCAGGGGGAAAGTAGGCAGTGTAGCAGCCCCCGGAGTACTGCTCTTCACACCAGTTCTTCTCTTCATAGTGCACCGGCTGCAGATCAGCGGGAAGAAAATTTCAAAGGGAAGACAAAGCTGAAATGCTGGCAGTCAATAATAAAGGCTCTTGTGTGTTTTACTTTAACAAAAAGTTTACATTAAAAAAAAAGGCAGCCCTGTTTTTCTAACTCATTTAAGGGGAAACATGACAGTATCAAGTAATGGCCTTTTGTGAGGTACCAAGTGACAAACTATGTATACTTTGACTTTCTCAACCTTTTGCCTAGGAGAGACATGAAGTATTCCAGTATCTGGAAGAGAGGGCATCTCCATGCAGATTCTGAAGTCTTTTAGACCTAAGTCTATAGGAAACCCCACCAACAATCAGGTTCTGGAAAGGTCTGCTCAAATCTCTGGATTCTCTAAATCATAGACTTTACTTCCCCCATCTACTACAGTGTTACTGCTGACAGAGGGGTGGAAGGGAAGAGGCGGAAGATAAGCACAGTGTCTAAGAAAGGCTTTTTTCACAACCAAAACATATAAGCTGGAAAAGTGAATGATGGGAATCCTGCTAAAAAGGGGACAATTAAGATGAAAAATGTTTCTCAAGGGACATGAGAACCTTCTCCGATTTCCCTAACACATTCTGCAAGTTTTTTATTTGAACAGTTCAGAGATAATCCCCTGAAAGAGCCCCCAACTATCTGGTAGGTTCTTCAAAAAGAATTTCATTCTTGTAATCACTTTCAACAGTGGATTGAAAACACTACAGTTCCTAAATGAGCCGTGAATTGAGTCTACAGATGGAAAAATAAATTAGTATGACTTTGATCTGGGCAGAGAGTCCAGATTCAGTGTGTCTTATCAAGTATATACTACTGTGCCTTCACCAACAAATGATGACATATCTGGGATTTTATTTCACAGTAGTCAGTTGACACTGACATGAGGGCAGGACCTCTGTTCTGGGAACTGATCTCACCCACCCTGGAGATAATACCTGCAGCTCCAGGCTCTGATTACAATTGGCTGCCAATTATCTAGTGAACAGCCCAAGGAACTGCTGCATCAGAAATTGCATGCACCTGACAGCAGCTTTTAATGGCCTTTTGTGATTGTTGAAGTTAATCCTCTAGTAAGCATATCCCTTTATACTCTCTTAAGACTGTCAGGAAACCAGAATCCGCTTTGCTTTACCACTTAGAGCAAACTGAGCAGAACCTGCTAGGGATTAAAGCTGGAGGTTCTTACTTGTAAAGCTTCTTGGGATCCCAGCACTTTGGCATAGAGCTCACAGATTTTCCTCTTCCTATAAAAAAGAACAAAAAAAAGTTAAAGAAGTAAAAACTGATGAGTATACAATAGAGACAGCAAGACAGGGCTCTTGCCAATGAACCAGATTTAGTAAGGAAAAATTAAAATCAATGGCCTTCTGTCACTAAACAAAATGAACAGTTCCATGAATCTCCGCACTCTAACTCTATGCCTCAATACAGTCATTTGATTTGAAGATTCAACAGAATTTTCCTCTTTTTAAAAAATATTTTTGCCTCTTTCATTACCCTATACCATATCTATTCAAGATTAAAATGGGGAAAATGAGATTAAATTCAATTCAGTCAGTTTTAGGAACTGATTCTAAGTCACTTTTCTGGAATATGTAGAATTCCAGAATAATCCCTTTTATAAGTCTATAGTACATATGACAGTGTCTTTTAAGTATCCTATATTTATATTTTAAAGATCTACAAACATATAAAGCTCATTTGATCTTTTAAGCATAACATAAAATATGCTATACCTGGAGAGGCCTACAGTCATTCCAGTCTAGTAATCTGTCACTCGACAGAATGGTCTGCAGACACAGTACTCCAAAGGGCATCTGGGCAGTGCGCATGGTGTGCTATGTGATGTTACCTCAAACGCAGTCTTTGGTTACCCTCATAATTCATTATGTAAATGACCAGCACAGAACATGGCACGCGTTATGTCTTAAAAATCAGTAGCTTAATTTATCTAAGCACTTCTTGAAACAGATACATTTTAAACTTATAACCACTCTTGGTGATATTAAAAAGTTCTAATTTACTAAAATAACCCATTTTAGAAATGAATGGGTCTATTTCAGGATTTGTTGGAATAGGTTCACACCGATCCCAGTTATATACTTTTGGTATTTACCTACTTTAGTTTTTATATAGTTTAAACATTGAAAGTGCTCCAAAATACTTGTTACAGGCTAACAAGCAATTGGAAAAATATTTGCTAAAAAATGTGGCAAATGGTTTAATTCAAATCTGTAAGACGAGCATTAAAAGCTGAAGAGACAAACGACCAAAAACGTGTGAGGGGGAAGGTTACACTTACCAGTACTAAAAGAAACAGAGATTTTTAAAGATGACGATTTTATGTTGCCAATTACATTAGAAAATATTTTTAAAACATGTCCCCAATTTCTCTGAATAATGTGGGACAAAGTGTAACCTTATAAATTTAACTGAATGCTCACATTTATACCATTTATATAACCCCTAGAACTTCCATCTTGTGGACATACAGTGTTAAGTCAGGAGTAGGAGGTGGAATTATAAACATTGCTTATTGCTACCATTTTACCGTGGAAGGTTTTAAGGGAGAAACAAATGCCACTCCTGAGGTGATGTCACACAACATTAGGTGGCTATTTAAGTTCCAGTACAGACAGGAAAAGTTTGGTTTCCTTCAAGGAGCTGTTCATACTACAGATCAATAATCATAAATGAAAGGCAGAACTGGAAGAAGTCTCAAGACTACTGTCCACCTGTCTATCTCTCTCTATCTAATCCAAGCCCCTCATTTCAAAGATGAGGAGGCTGAAGCTCAGTGCATTGAAGAGACTTTTTCAACATCACTCAGCTAATTAATGGCAGGGCCGAGGCTCTACTCTCTTGAGCATCCCGCCTGTAATAAGTGGTCAATAAAAATTTATTGAATCAAAATCCATCCTCAGCCTAGTATGGTACCTTCTTTCCTACTCTATGATGAGATGACTCATTCTTAACTACTTCATATGAGTGTTACAAAGAATAATTCTGACATTTTGAGTCAATTAGAAAACAAAAGTATTGATAATCATCCTGAAAAGATTAATGATGCTTAACTTATGTTTGGAACATGTAGTAAAATCTTTATTAAAACAGTGAAATCTAAAATCCAATCAACCTACATTGTAGTTAATTTTTCGTTCATGAACAATAAACCAGTTATAATAATGTCATTATTTACTGTATTTCATACTATTAGAAGAGTCAAGGATGAGTTCATACAAATATATCAGGAAATTATCTTCCCCATCCCTTTCCTCCCATTAAAATTAAAAATTTTTGGAAAAGTTATGTAAGACAAGGATATTGGAGCAATGCAATGATTGGTTAGTTGGGCTCTAAAAATAATAGAACATATTTTAAATGATGGCCAAAAGAGGTCACTGTGCGAATCATCTTGTAGGTGAATTTACCCACTGGTTTCTAAATCTGGCTGCTCTTCCTAATAACTGGAAAAGCCTGTTAAAAAATACAAATACTCAGGCCTCACCTCTAACCTACCAAATCATAATCTACTGGCCTCATAAAAATATATTTTCCAAACATTTTTTGGGAGATTTTGATGCAGTCGGTTCTGGGAACCATTGCTCCAGTCAACAACATAGTCAGAGTTCTAAGGGTTTTGCCTCGTAAAAACTTTTGAGAAGTTCAGCCACCATGTGGAATCATAACCAAATGTCTACATCCAGGCTGGTATTTATTTTACTATTAAGAAGGAGGGAAAGCAGGAAATCCAAAAGAAAATGTCAAGCTTAGTGTGGCGTAATGAAAAAAAGTACACATTAGATGCTATTCCTGACTTGGTCACAAGCTAGCTATGGAGCCTTGGGCATATCATTCCCTGTCAGTGGACCCCAAATTCTTCCTCTACTCAATGAAAAGGTGGACATTAAAATAGTTCCCTTCCTGACATCAAATTTCATGGTAGCTCAAATAAACAAATCTGTGTGCAAATGTGGGAACTTCTACAGCCTTTCCTTGACTTCCAAAGTCATCAAAGTAACTCTCAAAGCAAGGGCTGTTAGTGGAGAGAAGTATACATTTGTGTGTGTATCGGTCCTCTTCAAAAGCTAACAAAGGATTTAGGACTACCCTAAAGAAGGGAAGCCCAGAAATTCCCAGAAGCAGTTCCCCAATAGCCAAATGCCTGTTTCCAGGTAAGAGTTCCAAGTAAGATTTTATTTGAACAAAGGATTCCAAGGCAAAATAAAACAAATATAACATGGTACAAAGAGAGAAAGGGAGAAAGATAGAAAAAAGCCATTGTCCTAAAATAATTGTTCTACACTAGGAAGCTCTCGGGAGAAGGGAACATCAGAGCTGTGTCCTAGGTAATCAAAGAGGAATACTTTATGTACACAAGTTACAACAGGTTGAAACACATATGTATGGATTTGCTTTTCAAAAAAGTACATGTTAGAGAACCTTAGAAAAGGAATAATGAATGGTCTTGCAAGGTGATCAGGACTGGGCCTCTAAAGCTTTTTTCAAAGCTAATGTTTTCTATGATTTTCTCTATCTTACAGGGAAATCCTACCTCTGAACTACTGTAAAATGAACACAAACATGTAAAACTCAATTTATATATGCATATGGGCAAGGACTAAGTCGAGGGGCTCATAGCAAAATACAAAAAGGTTGATTTGTTGTGATTTTTTTTTTGTGAGGAAGATCAGCCCTGAGCTAACATCCATGCTAATCCTCCTCTTTTTGCTGAGGGAGACTGGCTCTGAGCTAACATCTATTGCCAATCTTCCTCCTTTTTTGTCCCCCAAAGCCCCAGTAGATAGCTGTATGTCATAGTTGCACATCCTTCTAGTTGCTGTATGTGGGACGCGGCCTCAGCATGGCCGGAGAAGCGGTGCGTTGGTGTGCGCCTGGGATCCGAACCCGGGCCGCCAGTAGCAGAGTGCGCGCACTTAACTGCTAAGCCATGGGGCCGGCCCGATTTGTTGTGATTTTGAGAATATTAGTGGATTATTGTGTTTTTCATAATGCTATTATACTGTTGTCAGTGCAATAAGCACAATATAAATCTAACCTATTATATGTTTCAGATGTAAATTCTTACCTTGTTTCTTTATGCAGCTTAGCAAGTTGGTCAGCTTTTCGAGCAACGATGAAGCTAGAGAGAGGTTACACTTGAACGATTAGTCATCAGCAGTTTATCTTAAGAGTTGCTTCTTTTTGAAGTGTTCTTGCCTCCACCTACTTGGCATTAATGAACTCTCCAACACCCTCCCATGATTTCCCTCCACTAGAGCAAATGCCATGCTGTCTTCGGTCTGCCTCTGTGTCCAAAACCCTTGCTAGGCCGTGGGCTCCTAAATGACAGGTCACCTTCTACTCAATATTTTGCCCCCAAAGTTTAGCACAGTTCTCGGCATATAGTAGGAAACCAAACGTTAGATGAATTAATGTTGCATTAAATGATTATCCCAGTAATGACTGTTGCCTTCTGCCAAATACTTGAAAAATTGGAAAAACAAATATAAATAAATGCCTGTAGTAGATGTCATGGTGGGTCACCCAGATCTCTCTTTAGGATCAAGTACTCATTGCCCTCAGCTCATAGCTGAAGCCTTCCCCAGCAATCATTCTGCAGCAGAGAACTGCCTGGCTCAAGGTCCCGCTCCTCCCCAGAATGACCGGCTCTGGGGTGCAGTGGGTACCAAGGCCCACCCCCTTGCCTCAGTGCAGGATGCCTCTGAAGGGTAATCCTGCTCAGAGCTCCCTGTGGGATGGCTGAGGCCTCCACTGGGACAACACTGAAGCCCAATATCTCCCTCTGCCCCATCCTCATTCCTCCCCTTCCTCACAGGTAGTGATCCCCAGAGCACTTCTCAATGAACCTCCTTCACCCAAATCTCCATCTCTGAGCTGGCTTCCTGGAAAACTGGCCTAGCACAGTCCCCAAATTCAGTAACTCAGCAAAACTCTGTTATAATCTGTCTGCTTCCCTTTAATCAGATAGATTCTACTTATTATAATGATATTACTAATTGCATGTATATTTTAACGAATTGAATTGTGACAAGAAGAACTTAGTTATACTATTATTAGAAATCTTCCAAAAACTCAAATGAGCTAAAGGACAATGAAGTTATTTCTCCATTTAAAAAAAATTTTAAAATTGTATTTCCTTTATTCTAGACCAAAAAGACAAGTAGATCAGGACTGAAAAAGCAAGGGCTGGAAACAGATATTTCATCCTCTCCCTCACCCTCAGATTAAACTGTTCCTCAATTTGATTGGCAATTCTTTTAGGGCCGTTATTCAAGATCATTCTGGGAAGCAAAGATACAAAACATAAATGTGTTAATCCAGAGAATAGTATTTCAGAGGAAGCTGTGGACTGTTGAACTTTATGGGATATAGTCATAATTTTGCTTGATTTAACACCTTATGTTATAGCTTGCTAGTAATGATTTTAGTTAAATTTTAGGTTTATGCAAGAATTGATCATTTTAGATTTATGCGGTATTTCAATGAAAATCACCACTATCTGATGAAAGATTAAATGATTTATCTGAAAACCTTTTTAGATCTTGGGTGCTTTTTACAGTTCCTTTTCCAAAAGGCAGTTAGTGTTGGCTATTTCTGTCAAATCTCAAGTCAAGAATGAAATAACCTCTTTGATCTAATTCTAACTATGGACAACTATTCTTTAACTTTCTTTGGTGTTTTATTGAGGAAATTAAACACACTGGCTTTGGGTTGAGGACATTCCACAGTTCTAAAGTACAACGTCCTTTCTAGTTTCCAAAAGGCACTAGTTATCACAAACACAGTGCTGGGCAATTACCAGCCCTATCTTCAAGGCTTTCCTCGCCCAGAGCAAAGAGCAGGGTGGAGGTAATGAAGCTTCAAGGCAAGAACAAGGTGGAGGCAATTGCCCAGATAAAACAGAGTAGAATATCACTTTTTAGGAACTGCCTAAGTAACTCCATTACCATCTGGAAGGCTTCTGCCATACATGTCCTTGTTAATAAAGCTGAAGAAAGCCCAGAAGGGCAGACGGCACAGTATCTAACTCCCAGGGCAAGAAGAACATGAATGTTCTTCCATCTACAATTGGATAGGTCTTGATTGACAGTCTCCTGAAATCTCTACCTCAACCTCCTGCTTTCCTCTGGCATATAGAAGGTGGTAACAAACTGCCCAAACAATCTATATCCTTTCTTGCCCAGTGGAATTAGAGATGAAGGGGATGAACTGTTCCTATGGTGGTTATGTTGTGAGCACCTGCCCTTCCCAGGGAGGCTGGTGCTATTTCTTGTATTTTACAGCCAGAGAAGGGGTTATAAAATGTCTTACTGACAGTCCAGTAGCACAGCCTGCTTTCTAAGTCCCTTGGATCGTGGGTCTGCTCCTATTGGTTTTGTAATTTCCCTTTAATGATGCAATGTGCATGAGCTCAACTCTCCCAGGGGTGAAGGAGAAAACCACTGGTCTCTAAACGTCACTTGACTGCTACAGAAGCTGTGCTCTTTTGTTGTGATGTGGTAGAATAAATAGGCCTTTTGTTTGTATAGTTTTGAGGAGGGCTGAAAGGCACGGCAACTGGGAGGCTGCAGCACTCCTTAGCAATTCCTTTGTGGGAGCTCCTGCTTCCTTCTCTGGACCCCTAGTCCCAAAGGGCAGAGCAGGTGCATGCGGGGATGCAAGGAGAGGGTAAGAGCTCTCCTCTTCCAGATACAGAACCTCGCCCTGGACCATCCCTGGTAAAGGACAGCCATGGAGTGACCTACTAGAAAAAGTGCCATCCACTCAAGGCCTGGCTCTACTTCAAGCTGCACTTCCTAACTGGGCATCCATCTTATGTCCCAGGGTAACAATGAACATATTAACATTTGCTATGAGGCGATGTCTGGAATAGAGAAGAGTATACAGCCCAGAAACCCTAACTTTGGAAAGTTTTATAGGATAAAACAGTCAGTTCTCATTCCAGAATGGTTGTCGACATTCTGCCTCTAGGCAGGGTTGTCTACCATACTGCCTGTCTAGCTGCTTCTTTCACTCTGTCCTCAATCTGTAAGTTTTATCGAGGAAAGAAATATATGAGCGCAAGTTCAAAATGGTGTCAATTTTAGTAAAGTTTCCCAGTGTTCTTGTGCCACAAAACATTACTCTAATATTTTAATACAGGGAAACATGATCTATTTCTGTAGGGTTACTTATCATTGCTTGAGCTTGATTCCAAAACAATATGCTCTGCCAGCATCCACACCAATACACCAACACAATTTGGAAAATGCAGAACACCCAGCTCTAACTTACCCCATGATGGCAGGCAGCGATCCGTCTGGCTTGGTGTCATCCAGGGTTATTGAAATTGGAGCTTCCTCATCTTCAATGATCATACAGCCACAATAATCTTAACCAGGAGAAAATCAATAAGCGATTGGGACTGACCTCATCAGAGATTTAGGGGGAAAAATTTTACATAAAACTATTTTGCTAAGAAGAAGGCAAATCTTAAACCATTGGTCTTTACCCGAACCCTAGAAGCTATTTTCTATTAAATACACACACTGACTATACAAGGATGTCTATTCACCCAGACACTGGAAAATGACCCATCTCAATGACCTCTACATAAGGGTCATGTATGATCAATGCATGGCTAAAAGTCTAAGATGGCCCTGGAGTCCTGGACTACATGGAGAAAGAGAGAGGTGTGTTAGAGGGAATTACCCCTATAAACCCATGGAAGAAGTGGCAGGAAGGAATTCTTTGAGTATGAGCAGAAGGCTTATCAACAATAGCCACCATATCCATCTAGAGCATGCCTCATTTAATCTTCACAATACCCTGACAGTAGGTGTCGTTACCATTTTACACAAAGACTGATGCTGAGAGAGGTGAAGTGTCACACCTGAGGCCACACTAGTAAGTGAAGCCCAGGAATACGTGACTTCAAAACAGTGCATTTTCCACAGTGCCCCTTTGTCTCACTCTGCTCATGAAGAGTAAGTGGCAGGACATATGCCAGGAGCCAGGGCAATGGTGGCCCTGCAACTGGTGGGATCTCTTCTTTCCCTCTCACTGCCAGCAAGTGCTCTTGGGGTCATTTTGTGTCACAAAGGGCTATCAGGAGATGGAGAGACTGAGATTTATAATCCTTTATTTACCAATTTGAAAACACATCTTTTTTTCTGTTTAATGTCTAGCCTAATGTTTCTAGAAGAGTGTGGTCCCTTCACTTAGTACAATTTAAACATGAATAAGTGCTGCATACCCTTCTTCCTCCAAAAGGCCTCCTTGTAATACATCATGCACTTAATGATAGCCCCCATTGGAAGACGCTGAATCAACTGGTTTCTCTCTGATGGAAGCTCTGGTCTGAAGTGGATCTTGGCCGTCAAAGTTGGAGGGATGGCACTAATTACGTATCTGCACTAAAACACACAAACACAAAATAGCACCTCAAACGTGAGTCTTTGCAGAGGGCATGAAACATCATATTTATCATTTTGAATGACACTGAGCAGTAACAACATACAAAATGAGGCCACTACGAGGCAACAAAACAGAGCAAGGCAGGTCAACCAAGGTTGGTAATTTGGAAGACTGAGTTGGAAACGTGCCAGCATTAATTACGTCACTGCTTGGATTATATTTGGTTAAAAGCTGCAGAAGATACAAGGCCTATTTAATATATGATCCTTTTGACTAAAGTGAATTACCTCATAACGTTCATGATTCAATGTCTCTACGATGACGTTGTCACCTGACTGGTCGACATAGGTGACAGGATGCTCCAGCTTCACTCTGTCCCCGAGGAGGTCCATTATCCGTTCGCTCACTTGACCAGATCCACCTACAAACTTCCGTTCCTACAAAAGAAGGCAGGCAGGAAAGGAAATGTTATAAAAGCTCAAGGAAGGAAAATTGTATTGTCACTGATTAGAAAAACTCCAGAAAGTCACAGGCCATACGTTTACCCTCTGCACACTTCACTGTTGAACTCATTAAGGACAGAAGCAAAGTCTACCAAGGCACCTCAATCATTATGCTCTGCACAGCTTCTGGCAATGAAAAGCCATGATTAGTTTATAAAATCACACAATCAGAAGAAATGTTCCCCTTTACCAGTGACACCTTGACCAAATGCAAATATCAGCAAGTCTGTGGGCTTCAAACGCCCAAGAGTGCAGTGCATGGAGGGAGCCCTGGGAAAGGAAGTGTGCCACACTTCTCCCAGGGGATGTGGTTTCTTTTTTTAAGACTAATTAATTATTTTTTTTCCTGGTTTTATTGAGATGGGGATTCAGTTTCTAATTCCCTCTGGTTTCTCAAAGTCCTGGCCAAGGGCTGTCTAGGCAGATTAAGATGTTCTCTAAGAGAACAGGCTAAGGGTGCTCTTAGATATTATCTGGTCATCACCAAATGATGTTCTAAGAATCTAAATCTCAGATGTTGAGTAACTTTTTGCAAAAATGTCTGGAAGTTTCACTGCGGGGGCAGAAGGGTGAAGGCTAAGCACCTGCCTGTTCCTCGACACATTGTTCAATAGTTCCCTTGAGCAGCCCTGTAAGACCATGAGTGCTCCACCCCATGTGATCTGCTGCATTCACCATGGAAATCATTCCAGCTCAATCTATGAAGGCAAGTCCTTAATACAACTCACTTTGTAAGAACCAGGGCAATATTTTTAGCCTGTTGTAGACGATTCTTTGAATGGTTAGAAATACATGTAGGTAGACTAGGGCACAGACTAACATTTGACAATCAGGTACCTCAATCACACTCCTCCAGAAAACCTTGCATGAGTAGCCATGCAGTAATTTTTGCACTTTTATAACTGGCTATTGTTCTAACACCACCACCAAAGTTCTTTACAAAAATATTTCCATAGTAGTTCACACCTAAATTCATGATCTGTTCTTCCTCAAGAAAGTGGGACCATTTAATTTATAATTTGACCTCTGTTTTCCAAGAGTTACTTTGAACTTTAGTATAGTGGAAGGACCATGAACTATTTCCATCTTGTTCACTGTCCACTCCTTCATGTCTAGTATTTGTTGAACTAAATTATTAAAGGATAAATCTAAGGTCTTTATAAAGATATTGTGATAATGGTTTGAGATTCATAATCTGAATTGCACTTTCCAAAAGGTTGTGTAGAATTTGCATAGAAGTACCTCTGCTCCTCTGAATGAGGCATTTAAATATAAAATATGAGTCAAGATACCTCAGAAAGTAAAAAATCTAGGTTAAAAGGAGTAATGTGGGATTTCTAAGTGTAAAGACACGTAAAAAAATGCAACTATCCTGCATTTGTTCAAGCCAATGGTCAAATGGGTAGTAAGTGTTGGGGCCACAGGAATAATTTGGGGACTTCTGGAGGTCTCCTAAGGAGAGAAATAACTCACTTAGCAGAGAAAGACTCGACATCTCCTGCTATGGAACAGAGCCTAAGTTGGAAGTAAACTGCTCCTAAGTAAACCTCATCCCATCGAGGCATAACATTCCTAGAAAAGAGATACCCATTTTTTTGGATAAGGGAGATCCTTGACACAAAGAATCTCGGAGTCTAGAAAATCAGGGAATTAGGATTCTGGCCTCACCATTGGTTTGCTGTGTGTCAAGCCAATGAGCCAAATGAGTTCATTCATCAGTAATGAAAGTGGTATGGAAGCTGAGCAAATGATAGTGGGCAACAAAAATTTAGAATCCAAAATGTAGAACTTACTATTGAAAGAGTGGCCATAAATCACTTGTGTGAATTAGAAGAAAGAAGACACTTCCATTCTATAACAGTTAACATAAAAGAATAACTTTGAGACACAAAATGGGACAAAAAAGCCTCATGGCTGAAAGAGAGATGACTTTAAGTACAACAATTTCACAAGTACTAGAATTTTTTGGAAATTAGTTGATTTTAGTAATTTAGGTCCTCTTACATAAATAGCCTAATTTTATCTACCTCCAAAAGGAAGGAACTAAATTCCCATAACTTAATTAATCAAAATGAAACATTCTTTAGCTGTGAACTTATTTTCAGGAATGAGAAACAGAAATGAGAAATTTTGTTTTCAGAAAAGTTTTTTGAAATCATTTCAAAAATTCATGTTTCAAATTCACTCCTGTTTCAAAATATGAAAGCAATTATTAAGACACTGCACTGGGTGAGGGCAAAATCACAAATGAAGTTATAGTGTGAGAATGAACACTCCATACCTGACCCCCGTTGGTAACCGAGAATATCCGAGTGGTGCCTCCGCACTGCTTCACATACCACAAGAACCACAGGGCAGACACCTCGTGGGGTTCGGATGTCACATTGATATTGACAAAGAGAGTTGCAAACTCCCTAGCTTTCCTGGTCACAGAACAAGAGCAGAAGTCAGGAGTAAATACACACATGCATCACAGGACATCGTGTTTTTAAGACACAGTTCAGTATGGTTAGAGCATTTCTCTTGCTTTTCAAAGAAAAAGAAAACTTCTGGGCTCAATTTCTAAAGGAATGCATATTTTAACTCCTGGGGAAAGTAAACTTTTCCCTTGCTTTTAGGAAATTATGGCTTAACTCCAAATATGCTAATTCCAGTGCAGTCTAAAGGGTCAATATGCTTGTCAGGGATCACTAAGGATATTTATTCTCATTTATTTGAACAACCATCCTCTACTCTCCACCTCCACTGCCCCCACCCCGGTCCAGGCTACCACTGTCCCTCACCAGGGTTACAACAATGGTGGCTCCTTCTGGTCATCCCTACCTGGTTATCCTACATCCCCTCTTGATCTTTCTCCACATTATAGCCAATTAAGTTTTTTAACAGTCCAAAACTCAAAGAAAAACACTCTGCTTAAAAGACTTTAATGGCTTTCATGGTAAAAGGCAAAAATCTTAAACATGGTCAATATATTTGCACGACCAGCCTCTCAACCAGTTCTCCAAACTCCCATTACATCACTTTCTAATGCCATCTTTATGGTCTAGGCATACGGTCCATTCACTGCTGAAACATGTCAACCTCCCCATCTCAGGGCCTTAATAAAAGCTATACGCTGTTCTCTCTACCTGGAAAATAATATCACCCACACCATCCAACCTTTGTATCTCCCAAAATTCATTGTGGCTCATTTCTGGAAGATACCATTCTTCACACCATTCATCCTTCTGGTTTGCCCCCATGACTGTGGGCCATTCCTGGAAGATACCATCCTCCATCCTTCACCATCCATCCTTTCTGTATGCCCCTATTAATTGTGGGTCATTCCTGAAAGATACCACCCTCTCAAACCACCACACCACCTTTCCTTCCTGTCACACCCATCACCTAAGTCACTGTGGTACTTCCTTGAAGATACCATCCTCCCAAGGGGATACTCCCTTCCTGCCTCCCCCTACCAACTGTGGCTCATTCCTGGAAGATACCATCCTTCCACACAACTCATCCTTCCTGTCTCCCCCATCCACTGTGGTACATTCCTGGATCGCACCATCCCCTCAGACCACCCACTTGTCATGTCTCCCCCCATCCACTATGGCTCATTCCTGGAAGATATCATGCCACCACATCATTAAACCTTCCCATCTCCCCCACAGTCACTGTAGCTCATGCTGGAGGATACCATCCTCTCGCACCACCTATCCTTCCTGTTAACCCCTTCAAGTCACTGTGGCTCGTTCCTGGAAGATACCATACCCTCACTATATCTACTCTAACTGTATGCCCCATGGACTGCTGCATTCCTGAAAGATACCATCCACCACACCAACCATTCCTTCCTGTCACTCCCATCAACTGGCTCATTCCTGGAAGATACCATCCTCCCACACCATCCATCCTTTCTGTATCCCCAATAAATTGTGACTCATTCCTGGAAGATATCATCCCCTACACCACCACACCATCTATCTTTCCTGTTGCCCCTACCCACTCCAACCAAGTCACTGTTGTTGTTCCTTGAAGATACCATCCCCCCAAGGGGATACCCCTGCTTGTCTCCCCCTACTCATTGTCACTCATTCCTGGAAGATACCATCCCACCAAACCATCCACCCTTCCTGTCTCCCCAAAGCACTGTGGCTCATTCCTGGAAGATACCATCCTCTTACACCATCTATCCTTCCCATCTCTCCCATCCACTGTGGCTCATTCTGGGATGATACCATGCCCTCACACTATCCATTCTTCCTGTCTCCCCCCAACCACTATGGCTCATTCCAGGAAGATACCATGCCACCACATCATCTAACCTTCCTGGTCCCCCACAGTTACTGTAGCTCATCCTGGAAGATAACATCCCCTTACACCACCTATCCTTTCTGTCGACTCCTCCAAGTCACTGTGGTTTGTTCCTGGAAGATACCATTCCCCCATCGGCCATACAATCTTCCTGTATGCCCATATGCACTGTGACTTGTTCCTGGAAGATACCATCCCCTCACTATATCTACTCTAACTATAACCCCCATCAATGGCTGCATTTCTGGAAGATACCATCCACCACACCAATCATCCTTCCTGTAAACCCCCATCAACTGGGTCATTCCTGGAAAATACAATCCTCCCACATCATCCATCTTTCCTGTCTCCCCCATCCACTGTAGCTCATTCCTGGAAGATACAATCTCCCCACACCATCCATCCCTCCTGTCTCCCTCTGTCCACATAGCTATTTCCTGGAAGGTACAATCAGATTCACGATCCATCCTTCCTGCCCCTCCCCCATGCACTATGGTTCATTCCTGGAAGATACCACCAAACCATCCATCCTTACTGTCTCCTCCCATCCACTGTGCCTCATTCCTGCAAGATATGATTCCCCCACACCATCCATTCTTTCTGTATCCCTAATACACAGTAGCTCATTCCTGGAAGATACCATCCCCTCACACCACTTCATCTTTCCTTCCTGTCGCCCCCCATTCACTGTGATTCATTCCTGGAAGATACCATCCCACCAAACCATCCATCCTTACTGTCTCCCCTCATGCACTGTAGTTCATTCCAGAGAGATACCATTCCCTCACACCACCCACTCTTCCTGTCTTCAACCATCCACTATGGCCGATTCCTGGAAGATATCATCCCCTCACACCACCTACCCTTGCTTTCCAACTCCCCCCCACACAAGTCATTGTGGTTCCTTCCTGGAAGATACTATCCCCTCACTATATCTACTCTAACTATAACGTCTATCAACTGGCTCATTCCTGGAAGATACTATCCCCCATACCATCCATCTTTCCTGACTCCCCCCCCTGCACTGTGGTTCATTCCTAGAAGACATTCACTACATACCAGCCACCTTTCCCCATCCCATCCACTGTGCCTCATTGGTGGAAGATATGATTTTCCTACACCAGCCATCCTTTCTGTATCCCCAATACACTGTGGCTTATTCCTGGAAGATACCATTGCCTTACACCTCCACACCATCTAATCTTCCTGTCGTTCCCTCCCCGCCAAGTCACTCTGGTTGTTCTTTGAAGATACCATCCCCCAAGGGGATACTTCCTTCCTGTCTTCCCCTACCCACTGTGGCTCATTCCTGGAAGATACCATCAGACCACACCACCCATCCTTCCTGTCTCTCCCCAGCACTCCTGGAAGATACCATCCCACAAAACCATCCTCCTTCCTGTCTCCCTCCATGCACTGTAGTTCTTTCCTGGAAGATACCACTCCCTCACACCATTCACTCTTCCTGTCTCTCCCATCAACTTGCTCATTCCTGGAAGAATCCATGCCCCTACATCACTCATCTATCCTGTCTACATCCCATTCACTGGGGCTCATTCCAGGAAGATACCATGTCCCCACATCATCCACTCCTCCTCTCCCCCTCCACAGTCACAGTAGCACAATCCTGGAAGATACCATCCCATGACATCATCTGTCCTTCGTGTTGCCCCCCCCACCCACTCAATTCACTGTGGTTCTTCCTTGAAGATACCATCCACTCAAGGGGATATTCCCTTCCTGTCTTCCCCTACCCACTGTGGCTCTTTCCTGGAAGATACTATCCTCCCACACATCCCATCTTTCCTGTCTCTTCCCATGTACTGTGATTCATTCCTGGAAGTTACCATCCCTCCAAACCATCCATCCTTCCTGTCTCCCCCATCCACTTGGTTCATTCCTGGATCATACCATCCCCTCATACCATCCACTCTTCATGTCTCCCCCCATCCACTATGGCTTATTACTGGAAGATACCATGCCATCACATCTCCCAACCTTCTTGTCTCCCCCACAGTCACTGTAGCTCAACCTGGAAGGTAACATCCTCTCACACCACCTAACCTTCCTGTCAACCCCACCCCACCCTGAGTCACTGTGGTCCTTCCTGAAGATACTATGCCCTTACTATATCCACTCTAACTATAACCCTGCATTAACTGGCTCATTCTTGGAAGATACCATCCCCCACACCATCCATCTTACCTTGTCTCCCCCATCCACTATAGCTCATTCCTGGAAGATATAATCTCTCCATGCCATCTATCCTTCCTGTCTCCCTCCATCTACTATGCCTATTTCCTGGAAGATACCCTTAGACTACACCATCCATCCTTCCTGTTTCCCCCCACGCACTGGTTCATTCCTGGATGATACCATCCCCTCACACCATTCACTCTTGCTCTCTCCCCCATCCACTGTGGCTCATTACTGGAAGATACCATGCTTGATATTATCCACCCTTCCTGTCTACCCCCACAGTCACTGTAGCCCATCCTGGAAGATACTATCCTCTCACACCATCCAACCTTCCTGTCCTCCCTCATCCACTGTGGCTCATTCCTGGAAGATACCATTCCAACACACCCAGACCATCCACTCGTTCTGTCTCTCCTCAGTTGCTATGGCTCATGTTCCCGGAATGTACTATCCCCCACACCATCCACCCTTCCTGTCTCCCCCATCCACCATGGCGCATTCTAGGAAGATACCATCCCCATCCCCATCATTCACCTCTTCCTGTCTCCCCCATCTTCTGTGGCTCAATTTTAGTTGATGCACTAACTCCTTGGTTTATGTTTAAAGATTGCTTCATTAAGAAATCTCTTATATCCTCAGGTCAGGCTTCTTGTTATAGCATTATGTAATTATGTGTATAATGTCAGTCTCTCCTGCTAGAATAATTTAGACTTCATGAGGGTTCGAGCCATGCCTAACAAGTTCACCACCATTCCTCAATATTTGGTACAGTGCCTTCACATAACAGCCCCAAAATGCTGACTGAATGATCTGTAAGTCATTCAGCTAATAACACAGATTCTCATTGAAAACATTATATAGTTTATATTTTTTATTAATATGAAATAGTATGAAATAATGATGAATATAGCTTCCTTCTAATTTCGTATTTTTCTACATCTATATGGAATTACTTTAATATTTTTCCAAATTGCTTCTGTAACTGACCTCTATATAATCTGAAAACACGATCACTTGTTTTATTGCAAATTACACAACCCTTTCATTAAAGTTATAATTCATTCATCTACTTTTCTTCTTATGTTTTAGATTCATTTTATGGTCAAACCTACTCTGAAGTATCTAAAGTGCCCTCAAAGTTGCTACTAACCTAAACATCATTAGGTTTCCTCTCAACTTTTTTTCCTATAATTAAGAAAACGCTGCAGTTTAAGATTGGATAGAAAGGATCAGAAGGGAAGATAAAAAGTAAAATTTAAATAGTTGATTACTTTGTCCAGCAGATTTTATCGATGAGATCTTTCATGGTCATCTTGTCCCATTCCTCAGCGTGTGGGGCCTCCCATGGTGCGTCAGCTGGAATCTGCAGAGAAAGAAGGGCCCGCATTCAGGTGTGATGGTTACTGCCCACTGCCCTGTGAAGAGGCCCACTGGAGAACCTCTGAAAACTGGTCTCTCTGTCTATGTTGGACTGAGTGATTGGCATAGAATTCTATGTATAGATAGTGGTGGGGTTGGGATGGATAGCTCTTTGGATTCTATGCCTTAATGCTGTTGCCAAAATAATAATAATAATTATAATTGCATATAAATGTATTATAAATTAATAGGTAATTATGATGATGATGATAACTGTTATTATTGAAAGCTAACACCCATTTTAAGTCTTCAACTTAAGTTTGAGGCAGTGATATTACAGAGCCTGAGACTAAGTAAAAAAATGTAGGGGAAACACATCCTTCTCTCCTTTACTATCTAAAGTGGCATCACGTGTGGATTGAACAACTATAAGTAGGATACCTGGAAAAATATATCACATAAATTCTCAGTGGCATAGAGTTGAAAGCACACAGGCATTAGTATCAGAGAGATGTTGGTTTGAATCCTGGTTCCCTTGCTATGTGATTTTGGGGAAATTACATAACCCCTTGGCACTCATTTTCCTCATTTGTAAAGTGGAAATACTACCAATTTGGCGGAGTTGTTGGGTGCACTGGAAATGATATACATCAATGTCCTGAGCAATGTTCTCTGTACTGTGGAAGAATATTCAACAGTTGCTATTGTTATTTCAGTAACAGGTCACGGGCAAGCTGACAACACACTTTACCTCCTTTCCCATGTTATCCATTGTCCGCCACAGATTGTTGTAATCCAGATATGCAATGGGATTCCATACTGGAGGAAAGGCTCCCCGAAATGGATAAGTTTTCCCCTACAACATAAAAGCAAAGGATAATACCTTAAATTAGGATGGTGTTCTAAAAATCCAGAAGCAACCAACCTATTTTCAAAGCAACAGGATCCTCTACTGTGTCAAAAGCAAAAGTAAATATATTTTACCTATACAGGCCCTAAATTTCAATTAGATGAGCAAAATTTCCCTGGTATTGTGTTAGTCATTTTTTTTGTGTGTGAGGAAGATGGGCCCTGAGCTAACATCTGCCAATCCTCCTCCTTTTTTTTTTTTTTTTTTTTGCTGAGGAAGACTGGCCCTGGGCCAGTCTTTTTTTGCCCTGGAAGACTGGGCTAAGATGGGCCCTGCCCATCTTCCTCTACTTTATATGGAACACTGCCACAGCATGGCTTGACAAGCGGTGCGTCGGTGCGCACCTGGGATCCGAACTGGCGAACCCTGGGCTGCCGCAGCAGAGCACCCGCACAGAACTGTTTGCGCCACCGGGCTGGCCCCAGTGTCAGTCATTTTTAATTTACAGGAAATTATTATTTGAACTTATTTATACTTATATAGAATGAATGAATGAATGAATGAATAAAGGTAGTTCATCCTAGTATCTAATGTTGATGCCACAATATTCTCAACTCCTGAGTTCCTGTCTAATCTCTTTGGAAGGATGGTCCCACTCAGGTGAGAGCAGGATGATGACATGGAGGATTGTCTTTGGACCACATAGAGGACTGGAATAACAAAGCAGAATATCTCAGACTGTGTTTTAAGGTTCACATAGGCTAAATAAAGACTGGATAGACTACAGACCATGCCTGAAGTCAGGAATCAAAATATTAGAAATGTGGAATAATGGGCATTTGCCATTTTTGGCTGCCCAGCATCCATTCCCCTTTCCTAGTAGTACCCTAGCTTCTTCTTGGGAAATTGCCTCTCCTTCCCTGTGGATAGACGTGTAGGGAGGATGGTCCTAGGCACCATCTCTCATTACAGCAGGCGATGGGCTAGGTCCTTTCTCCCCAACTTCTCGCTCCTAGTGCAGCCAGGCTGTGAGCCTGTGATATGAGCTTGGCCAATCACACACTCTCAGAAGACTCTGCCCCTGTAATGGGTCACCCAAGAACAGAAGAAAGTTGACTGTGGGTTCTCCTTCCCTGGGGCAGCATGTTGAGCAGATGCTTCCTGCTAAAAAGGCCATGGCTGTAGTTCCTGTCCCTAACTTGCCAGAGTTCCCCTGGTCTCTGCCCATTCTTGAGTGTGTCCCTCCAGCCTCCTGTTGATTCTGTGGGCCCTCTGATATCCGTTCAGTTAATCCCCTCTTGTTAGCTCGAGTTGGTTTCTATTGCCTGTACCAAGACCTCTAACTCAAAGACAGCTAATTATTAGCCGCCATTTACTTCATTTCAATTGAGTGACAGGCACTGCGCTGTGCAAACGCAGGGGACAGGGGAGAGTGAATCCTTAGGAAAAGAGACCAGGTCTAGGTCGTTCCTACAGCCTTATTTCCTAATTTAATTTCTTTTCCTTTAAAAATAAAACATCTTGTAAATATTCATAAGGTCAAAATATTGTTTATTAATACAATTTTGCATGAGATTTTAATTTTTTGTCAAATGAAAATATATTCAATATTTGTAGAACGCCTACTGTGTGCACTGCACAATATTTAAGAGCTGTGTTGGATTTTAAAAAAGGGTTAAAGCTAAACTCCTGACCATCAAGGCAGGGACATAAGACATAACAGCATTTGCATTCATGTGAGCACACTCGCACACGTACATGCGCACACACACACTCCAACTGAGTAAGACTATTAAGTGACAAAGAAGTAATTTTCCCTTCCACAGTAGCAAATTCAAATAACCTTGGCAGATTATGTGATCTGATTTCTTATCTGAAAATGCTATGTTGTAATGCTGCAATACAACTTTTCGAGACTCCAAATCCTTTACCGTCATCATCTCCACCACCACCACCACAGCACCATCATTACTAACATTTATTGAGATCTTTCTCTATGCCCGCCACTGGCCTAAGCTCTTCAGATGCATTATCTTATGTAATACTCACCCCAACCCTGGGGATGCAAGCACTATTAATATTTCTGTTTTATAAATGAGGAAACTAAAGCCCAGGGATATTAGCTAGAAAATAGTAGAACGGAAATTTCCTGCTCCCAAAGGCTTTGTTCATAAACATTAAACTTGCTGGCCTCCTGTAGATGGAATGTTGAGATAGGTTTGTTCTAGAGATATCTTAAACTTCCCAACTAAAAGAAAGAAAACTTTAAAATGTGAAACTTATAAATCTTCCACACACATCTTTTATGTTTCTAAGGAGAACAATGGAGACTAAGAAGCTCTGGGGCATAAGATGACTGCTGAGGAAACAGGGTCAGCTTTGGAAAATGCTGAAGTGTATTCTGAGAGAAATAGGCAGAGATATTTTACCCAAAACACAAAAATAGCTATAGAGAAGAGAGAGACCAGGGTTAAGCAATAGCTCATAGGAAGCCTTCAGAACAACTGGTTCTTGTTATAATTCTTCCCTTAATTGAAATCAGGAAAAATCTATATTTTCCTCTGTAAAATGCGTTCATACTCAAGTAATAGTCTCATACAAAACTGATCTTTGCTCTGGAAAAAAAATTAAAAACAAAACTAAACATGCTCAATTGTCTGGGGACATTAAGAAAAGTGTTATAAACATAATTCAACAAAATGTGTCCCACATTCCTAATGTTCTTTGCAGGACGATGCCAACTAGAGTATGATTTCATACAAGGTCCTAAAGACCCCCTGATCTGAGCCTTGATAAACAAACAGGTGGCAGGAGAAGTGAAGAGTTCAGGGAGAGAGAAGAGCCTAGCCTAGCAATCGTTTTAGGAATGAAAGTCATGGAATATTCTAAAAGAATATCATAGAGGCCCACCATGATATTAATTTTTATCCTGCTGACAGAGGCACCAAGTTGATAAAGGAATTTCACTAATTAGTTTCACTTTTAGCAGTTTATGGCTTCTCTGCTCTATTCCACAGAAAATCTAAATCTGCTAAAGAAATACATATACCCGTACGTGGAAACCAGCACCTAAGCGTCACCTCTCCCTTTCTCGCAAGCCTCTGGGAGGCTTATTTCCTCCACGGCCTGCTTCTAAACTAGACAACTCGAGACTACTTTTTGTGTGTGTGAATCCCTCAAGTTGTGCAGTGGGAGGGCCTGGAGGTGTCTCTTGGCTGAGGGGGAGCTGCCTGCGATCCAGACCTTCTCAGTCTCTTACATGTGATTCTATAGTTTTCTTACAAAGGTGTTAGCAGTTTCTCAATCCTAAAGCATTTCTCAACAAGAAATGCCTTTACGACCTAAGAGTGGGAGGCAGGAACTCTGGGAACACTTCCAAATGGCTACTGCTCTTTAAAAATAAAAGAAAAAAGATTCTTAAGTAAAGGTCAAGTTCATTTTGTGCCTATACTCTGAAACCTTCATACCCTTCCAAAGTGGCCTTTAATCTCTAAAGGATACTGTCTTTGACACAGCAGAAATTGCTGATGTCAAGTAGAACACAATGTCCCTGGAACTGTGCCCCAAATACTTAAGCCCCTTTGAGAAATCACATTCTCAATCTACCACTGTTCATAATAATGGGAGACTATTGCCAGGAGATGACAGTTTATGGCTCCCACATTGTTCTTTATTGTTGGTCCTATAATATAAGCCAAGTTTATAGTGAGCCAGTATCATTTACTGATTGGCATGTTGGTGAGTTTTATCTCCCTGTACTTTTATGTTTTAGTTCAACAAAAGGAACTGAGTGTTATTAAAGAGTATCATAGACCACTGAGGAAAGCTGCCAAATATTTTTCTTTAATCATCTTGAAAATAAACAGATATGTTCTGGATTGGTTTAGGAACATGTTTGTCCAACCCATATGAATTCCTTGGCACCCTTCTGGTCTCACTGTTTTCTGACAAGCTGGTAAGAGAAATCTTTTGGTGGTTTCTTTTCTACAGTTCATAATAATGCTTTAAATAAAGAAATCATCTAAAAAGTGATCCATTAAATAAAATGGCAGTATTGTATTGTATTGTATTAGTAGTTTAAAAAGTCACTTTCTTCCTATTTCCAAATGCAGGTAGCCAAGTTCTCTTCAAACATAGTTCTACTCTACCTAGAGAAAGCCTTCACACTTGACATGGAAACATCTATTCCATTGTATTGTGCTGGTTCTCTCAAGTCTCCCTCCACCTAATTCCCATTTCCAAATGCAGGTAGCCAAGTTCTCTTCAAACATAGTTCTACTCTACCTAGAGAAAGCCTTCACACTTGACATGGAAACATCTATTCCATTGTATTGTGCTGGTTCTCTCAAGTCTCCCTCCACCTAATTCCCATTCTTCTTTACAAGACCCTCCCTTCTCCCATCTACTGATCAACCCCCAAGATCTGATATCTCACACCAATATCTTCATATTTGGGGCCATCTTGGCAGGTTCATCCACATACTTCTCCCCCAGATCTCACTGTTACTAGTTTTCTAATCTGTTTTTTTCCAAATCCTTGCCTATATAACCAATCTGTTAGTCACTGCCCATGTATCAGTATAGATCCATACCTCAGGCTGTAGTGGGTGGTGTTGATGCCCTACTCCACATCCTACCTCTGAGTTCACCTGGAGCTGTGGTAGGAGATTCCTAGACTAGAAAGATCACTATCACCAGTGAAAGGGCTTTGGTCCCTGTGGACTAGTGGTTCTCAACCAGGAGTGATTTTGCTTCCCAGAGTATATTTGGCAATGTCTGGAGATATTTTTGGTTGTCACAACTGGGTGAGAGATGCTGCTAGACAACCTACAATGCACAGGACAGCCCCCTACAACAAAGAAATTATCGAGTTCCAAATGTCAGTACTGCTCAATTTGAGATACCCTGCTGTAGAGTGATACACAAATGTGAGTGACTAACATAAAATTTTCTGGAATCTAACCCTTTCCATTTGCAGGATTCCTGGATTTGTGGAAGAACTTGCC